CAGAACTCTCTAATATAGAACAATTTGCATGTTTAATAAATTAATGTTCACGAGCTCGGCGATCGAATGTTTGGACATTTTACTTAGTTGCACACTTTAATATACCTGAAATTGTGCTATTTTCCCCCAGACCCCACTTCACTGCTAGGTACTGGATCCATAATTCATGTTTCATAAAGAAAAATCGGGAGAAGAATTCTTTGAGTGCGCTGTGCAGCTGTTATTCATAACATAAAGTTGAATGATAACTGCACGACACGTAAATTAGGTTCATGAGAGTTTTGAATAATTATTTTTACACAGCGAAGGGACGCCAAATAATTCCCGCCGTCTGTCGTTTTATTTCTTGTCGTGTAGGCCTCTGTAGGCCTATTCCAGCTCCTGCTAACTGAATTCGACAACGGAGCTTGTCAGCACGAAGACTAATTATTTTATCCTTCACAAAAGTGAGAACAAAAAATAAATAGAGGATACAGATTGGCTTAATAATAATGTTAGTTCGTATTTCCGTCAGCGTTCAGAGAAAGGGGGGGATTGGGTTGAAGGTGTAACATAACATTCACTAGAAAAATAAAGGTCCTTTGCACTCTCAAAATGCTGGTTAAAATTTGATTGATTAAACAGTTCAATAACATTTTAACCAACATTGTGTACATTGTTAAAATTTTGCCCAACGATTACCCAACAGTTGGCACATTTGCTTTACCAAAAAAAAAAAAAATAAATAAATAAAAATAGGGACATGAATTAAGGAAAATACAAGGTCTACACATTTTTAGACTTTTTGGACATGGATCTAGTTATACACAGCCAGCACGGATATTGGGCTAATGTTGGCAAAAGCATTGGGCCAACCTTAGAAGCCAATATCGAGCAGAACTTGGTCAACATCGGCCCAAAGTACGTTTTGCTCATTTGCCAAATAAACTGGTCCTATATTGTCAACAATGGGCACAAAATTGGCATAACATTGGGTGAACATTGCCGACAGGCTTTTCTGTGACTATGTGGGAGAATTAACAGAGAAAATAAGTATCGGTCTTCTCTTCTCAAAGCCAACAGGAGAAACCTTCATACAAGTTGCACTTACGCGGAAAGTACAAAGAACACATTACAATCAAAGGGTTTCATGGGAAAAAATGCAAATCACTTGCATCAACTTTCGGCATACAGAAACTGAGGGCGCACTTGGACTTCCTACATTTGCAGTGATACAAATTGATCGCCAAAGCCAGACAGTCAACAAACTTTGGAAAATTGCACAAGTATTTAAATTTTAATTGTTTACTGTATTTTTATATTTTCGTTGCTGCCTCGGCAAATGTTGGCCTACATGGGAGGTATGATCCACTCTGCGAAGCGTATTCATGGTGCTGCACGTATGGTTACTCAAAAATAGAATCAATATCGATAGACTACACAGTACAATAGTCATGGAATTCTACAGAGCCTCTAACGATCCTTGTGTTTATGCAACATAATTATGCGTATGGCTTTTTGTATTTGCACGGGCATAATAAAATTCTGATCTGAGCCAACAGAAAAATGGTTCATGGCTTCAGTATTAATTTACTGAATTAACATATGAGAGGACAACTAATGAGATGTAATCGCTCAGGGTGAAAAAAAAAACATATATAGAATATTATTACAGAATGCTTTATCCGATTAAGTGCTGAAACTAAGTGATCATGATTGTGTATACATGGGCTATGGTTGGAACAGGCCAGTAATTTTTTTAAATTAATTACTTGCAATCTGATACATGACTACGTCATCATGGCGTCACACTCGCATGCACATATCTCAGTATCAGAATTGGTGTTAAAGTTTCAAGCTGATAATATATTCAATTTCAGTTATTTTCCAAAATGATATAAAAATTAGAACCAAGATAAAACCAAGGGTTGATTGTGATCACCCCTATCAACGAACAATTTTAATACAGTGAAGGGGCTGAGGTCAATCGCCCAAAGAGGAAATGATAGAGCAATGATAGAGCGATTAATTTGCCTTACTTCTCCTTATTAACCTGTTTTTACTTTTTTTCGATGTTATTCTGCAGATACACATACATTGGCTATTGGTGTGAACATGTAATCGTGCGTGTACAACTGCCTTGTGGGGTACCAGTGTAGCGTGAATATCCGACTCCATGAAATGTGGACCATTGGTAGTACTGCGCACGCGTTAGTACGATACTATGCTATTTTTAGGATCGTTTCGGGAGAGTGACCTGTCACGTGCGAGGGATTAACAAATAATGGGGGGAAAAGGGGTCCGATTTTCATAGGAGTCGGATTTTCATGTGACACCGGAACAATGGGACATGGTAGGGTGACCGTAAGGTCATGACTAAATTCTGCTAAATGCACTTCAAAAATCTGTCAGATTATCAAAAATCTGCCAAATTCCCCAGAATTACTTGAAATACACTAAAAACACCTTTAAATCACATGCACATGTTGTAATATTGCCTTAATTAATGTTCAAATTACATTGTAAACAGTCTATAGCCACATAAAAGATAATATGAAATTGTGTAAATTTCAGGCAAAAGGCGGTCGCGTGACGACGAACTCAGGTTCCCAGTGAACTTCAGCACCTAGACCAATCAACCTGTCCTATTTTGCAAGGGTTTCTATGAACAGATTGAAGCTTTTGTAACCAAATGTACCATTTTTTGCAAATTTGCTGTTTGTGAAGGAGACATTTTTGAAGAATTCTGCCAGACATCCGCCAAAAAAATCCATTCTGTCAAATTTTCTGTCAAACTCGTTTTTTTTTACAAAAAAAGCTGTCAAAGTTAGCCGAAAATCGGCTAAAACGGTCAGTATGATTACGGGCACACTCTCGCAAAACGTGGTTCGGCAGCTTTTTATACAAAAACCTCGTTGACTCGGGGTTTTGTGCGTAAACCTTATCAGTCAGCCGATCACGCTCAATTGACTTCGGCCAAACCGCAAGTCCCATCATGAGGAATAAGTTAACCATGTTAATCGGACCATTTTTTTCCAAGAGTGTGTCTCTAATGGTGTATGACGTTTTAGGCGAACCGGATTAATGGACCGGTCCAGTAAACCCCGCCCACTGCGCACTGGGCAAATTAACACGTGCTCCTATCCAATGCCACACTACATTTTCCTGCCGCGCGCATCATACGCGCGTGACTTTTGTGCGAGCACGTCGGACATATAAGTCACGGCTGTGATTGGTCAGAACACCATGGGGCGGTGCTTACTGGATCGGTCAATCATAGTCCACCCACACACCGTATACCTTCATTAGAAGAAAACTACGTTTATTTCGTTGCCGTTCCCGATGATCATTATCGTACACCACCATACATTTATCGTGAATTTCATGTCGCGAAAAAAACGATGTTGTAGAACTTTGCGATCGTTGACAGTGTCGTGAAATAAATTATTTAGTACGTCTTAGTTGTCCCCAGTTCCGGCCCAGGGGCGGCGAAACCGGGGTAACACTCCACCCCCCCTAGATTTTCCCAAGTGCCCCTCCTGCGGACATAAATGTGCCCCCCCCCCCCCCGAGCATAAAATGTGCCGGTCCCCTCGAGATAAAAACAAAACTGGCTCTAAAATTTCGGATAATTTGTTTTCCCAAAATGGTATAGCCTGAAAGTTCTGATATGAGCGGGCAATATGAAAACCCGAGCCCTAAAACCTCTACAATGGGCCTTGAAAATGGGCACACTATAAATTTCAACCGGAAATACGTCAAGCACCAAGCATTGGAATTTTCAAGTCAGAATTTCTGTCTCTTAACGTAGATGACATCATCAGGGGGCCCACTTTGTTGGGGAATGGATAGGCCGATACACAATTTGGTTGAGGTCTGTGTTACCCATGGAGGAAGGAATCCTCCATGTTTACCGTGACTGTTTATTCCACATCAATATTTTAATACACATTGATTGATTGAACTGGTTACAGTGAACTGAGACAAAGAGAACTGGGTGAACTGAAATAGACTAGAATAGAAATGGAACAGAATTGGAATTGAAATAGAATTGAAACAGAATGAGATACTGCTAGTGGAGCAGCACTTATATACTGGTGGAAACAGGAAGTCTTGAGAATAAGAAATATTTAAGAATGGGGAAACTTAGTCATATCATGGAGGAATGTTCTTATTCCTCCATGGTCATATCGTGGTTTCCTTGAGTCTCAGAAAAATGACTAGGAATGAGTAATATAGTTCCTTAAAAATGTAACTTGGTTGTACTAAGAACCAAAGACTTGTGTGTGGGCAGTGAAGGTCATTTGCTCTGTATAAAAATATAGGGACTACACATTGCATAGGCACTGGGTGTATGTGTATACAAGGAAAACAATGAGTGATGCATTCAAGAGAATCAATTATTAAAAAGTTCAAAAGGAACATTGATAATTAAAGTGTGATAATTAACTGAAAATTAAGACGAATTGATAATTGAGAATTGATAATTTGAAAACGCTACAGCTTCATGTAAATATCTGCTCGGTCACCATGGCGTCTGCATATTACATCCCTACTGATGAGACTATGCATGCAGTATATTCCACCAGATACAGAACCAGAATAAAATGGCCGGTTTCGAAGAGCGCTCCAATTTTTGTAAACTTGGTACCAGCCAAGCCCCCCCCCCCCCCATTTGATTTTACGGAGGCCAAGTGTCCGGTGAAAAACCCAGCTGGATACGCTGCTACACCAACGGAAGATGCCTTTTATTGAGCAAGTGCCCCGGTGATGCGACTGTAACCGGTCAGTCCAAAAATTCAACCCCCAAAAGTGGGTGCAGTGCATTTTGTTTTCGTCCTTCACAAATGTATTTAAACGGGCAATTGTTTTCAACTCAAGTTGATCAGTATGAATTTGAAACTGTGCCACCCCTCTAAGTAAGTCTCGTGACCAAAATGTAATCGCCCATCGGGATTACGTCATTATCATTCATAACGTGTTTTAGAAGATTTCCACTCAGACTCCAGCCCTATTGTTACATTCATGCCTCACTGATCACCACGGTACAGCGACCTAGCGTGCACGGGCTTTATCTTAAGCTGTTGTTTCGGTGCTGGGCTAGGCCTTCATTACTGTCGTTGTGCTCCTCACGCTCACTGCATGCAACTCATTACGCTGTTCAAAATTATCATTTTGGCTCTGTATGAAATTGTTTATTCTAATTGAACGTGCGCATTGTGTCAAATTTATTTGTATTAACAAAGACATCGTTACCATTTACTACAAGATCAACACCAAGAGGGGCAATGTCTTCAAGAGTAGAAAGAGGTACGTTACATGTCTCTGATTAATGTACATGTGTATAACGTGTGTAAGCTCTGGTAAAAGTAGAGTTTTGTCACCTGAAACAGAGAACTCCTTAAATTTCATTGGATGTTAAAGAAAAGTTTACATGGAAGATAAATTACAGCAGAATTAAGGTTGAACGAAAATTATTATTTTATTCAATAATAATGCAACGTGGGGAGAAAATACAATTTCGAAAGAATTCGTCAGACACGTGCAGTAACATTGTGTTCGCACGTATTTGCATAGGAATTTGATACGTGCAGTGACATTGCGTTCGCACGTGGAACAGTTGAAGGGTAGCATTCCAGTGGAAAGTTTTTTTTTTCATATTGTTGTCCCTGAATAATTAAACTCGCTAATTTACACCAGTATTTTCAATGATAAACCTGTGACAGTGTCTCCTTCATTGTCACATTGACTTGCAGGTCTTATGTAACTCCCTTTCTGGTGAAGGTTAAAAGACGCTTTCCACCTCAGTCTCAGAAACTAAAAAATAAATTGAAACAATATAAAACCTAGTCAACATTCTGGGCAAAACGTTGGTGCAAGTGATGCAAACAATTAATTAGTTTTGTTTGTAGATCGAGTTGGGAGGAGTGCAGACGCTGCAGGCGTGCATTATGCAGCATCCGCAAAGCAAAGCGCTGCTGGATCTGTAGGAGTGTTAGGATAAAATGTTATAGGCAGTTAGATTCGGCGAAATATTCTCATACGCGTTTAGAAACCTCCGCACCGCGTTCTATCGCTTTTCCGTTCGACAATTAGGCATATTCATACGTAATGTTAGGCAAACTCGTGGGTTTTTTTTGGCTTGACCGGAGACGATTTGGTACGAAGACCGTGAAGGGACATGGGAGTTATTTAGTTTTTTTGTCATAATACTATTACGTATGTGTTATTGTCACGTACGTACGTAACTCACGCACGTACTTGAATATTATCACGTACGTAGGTAATATTATCACGTAGGGCCCACGTGATAATTATTACGTACGTAGGGCCCACGTGATAATTATTAAGTACGTATACACAACGTATACTCGTTTAAGGATACACGTATTATCACTTACATATGCAATACATGTACGTACGTAATATGTACTTATTTATCAGGTATGTACGCAATAATAATACTAATATTGCGTTAGTTCGTAATATTATATTATCACGTACGTATGTGATAAATTAATTGTATCACGTACGTACGTTGTGATTGTCATATTTATAGTAGTAGGCCCTAAATAAGAACAATATGTTCATCTCCTCTTGGTCTTCGTACCCACGTATCCGCATATCCGCATATCCGCGTACCTGCGTATCCGCATATCCGCGTACCTGCGTAATCGCGCGATTTCGTGTACCATACTTCGAAGATGATAAAATCTAGGGCACTGTTTAAGCAAAGTGCAATAAACAGTGTTAGGGAAAACGAAGCAAAAGTAAATTAGGGAGCAAGCATAGCCCGCTGCGAGCATGCGCACATTGAGCCTGCAGGCAGTGCGATGGGGAGCTTAGAGGTTTTCTAAAAAAAAAAAAAAAAAATATATAAAAAATAACATTAACTTAATGCAAACGAAAATCAGTCTAATGAATAACACTGTCCCCCTAAACTTTAAACTTGAAAGTACTGGTGTATTTTATTTTATTTTCGCTATTAAGAAACTTCACTCGCAAATTCTTAGTCGATTTTGTAATTGATTGAGAGTCATTTTGTGATGGTTTATCGATCAGCTGGAATGCTGCCCTCTATACGGACATTGGCTGGTACTTTGCCCAACTCAAAACAATAATTAAACAAAGTTAGTAAAAACAACTACAGAAAGTGGCAATGCCTGGTGCGTTGTCCACCAACGACGATATAATTTCTTTATAATTGTATAATATGTTTAAGAGCAAACAAGATTCATAAAATCTAGGCCATCGGCAATTGACAGTGACCATGCCTGGTGCAGTGTCACTTGTAAGGGACACCCTCTTCGGTGCATATTAGTAGCGCCGATTTCCAAGAGGCCCCTTCCTTCAGAAGAACTTGAACATTAAAACTTAAACCATTTAACAAAAACACGGAAGGACGTTACTACTTAAATAGCCATACAGAGAAAACTGTTGGTTAATAATTAACACTAATTCCTCAATGAGCTCTCTGTTAAGGTGACATATACGCTCTTATAGTAACACTAAAAGGTCAAAAAATCTGGGGATTAACAGCGTCTGTAAAAGCGCCGCATTGTGCATACTTCGCTATTCTGCCGTGAGCAGTGAGGACACAGTTGACAGTTGACCATATTTTAATGATCGTAGTAAAATCAAAAGTCATAACTTTGGTTAATTATACTTTGCATACATTTGTATAAAAGACATTTTTAATTTGTGAAGAGCTTTTGAGCTCGGTTCATTATTAAGCTTATCTGTGAGTAAAAAAATGCTTACAGAGAGAATGACTTTTGGGGGAAAAAACTCGAAAGTAGATTGTATTTTGTTTCATTGTAAATGTTGCATGTTTGATTTTTTTGCCTTTGTGTGCATTGCTCTCTGTGTGGTGTGATATTTTTTAATGGTATCCGTCTGTTGTCTCTGACAATAGACAATTTTTTTTTTAAATCAAATTAATCGTTGCGGCTACGAAAATGTCAAATCGTTAAGTAAAATCGAAGCAGAACTTGAAAGGAATAATACTTAAAATCAGTGTTATTTTTTTCTGAACTGCAATACGTCGGGCAAAAAATGTTACGGTTTTGAAGAGGCAAACCTCAAATTGACGAAAATACGAAATCAACTTTAAAATGTTAGGCAGTATTGGAATAAAAAAAACCTACCCGGATATTTACTTGACTACGCGTATGACGAAAACTGAAAACAAAATACAAATCGGTCCAAAATAAATTGTAGCGAAAATCACATAGTAAACTAATTTTTTTTCCGAAAAAAAAATCACTCCGCTTTCTACGTGTAGGCCTACACGCTAGGAAAATGATGAAAATAACGCGAGGAAAACATCACAGCGTTAGTGAGAGTAAAAATACCCGAAATCAGTATTATTTGTCTTACCATAAAGTAAACAAAATGGGTTATCGAAATAACAAATCAAAATGACGAAAATAACGGCATAAAAATTAATCATCCGCAACGAGAGAAGTAAACTTTACATGTACATGCAAATTGATGCTAATTTCTAAACTTCCAAATTTGGCCACAGAAAAAAAGACCGAAATTAAGATTTAAAAGAAAGGATGAAATTATGCTGAGCAGTAAATACCGGTTCTACATTGCCTCAAAAAGTCGGAAAGCGAATATTGGCAAACGGTGGGAAAATGACGGCAGCAAAAGAAAATGAAATTGACGAAATTACGAGAAAAAAAATCACACCATAATGAACAAAATATCTGTTTAGAAAATGACTGAATTTCAGTTATATACAGCGGTATTTCAAAAACATCAAAATTGTTGGCATTGTCGAAAAGTACCTTCAAAAAGACCTTATTGCCACCCCCCCCACCAAAAAAGGTACATTGTGAAAGGGTACAACTTATTGGCAACCTGCCGTTATCGGTGTCGGCACATGTTCGTGTGCATTATGACAAAAAAGATCATGTCTGTTTTTAAAAGTAAATAGTGGAAACATGGGTAGAATCGTTTAGTTTCTATTTGGTAACAAGTGGCCTTATTACAGGGTGGCTTAGACATAATGCTCTGGAATGTTTCACTTCAGTAACAAATGGGCTAGGCCCAGTGTTTTCGTAACCCTGTTCACTTAGGAAAGAGTTGCAGCTTTCATCAAAGAAACTGATGACCTAAAAGTTGAGACTGCATGGATGAGCTAGGCTGCTTTGTCTGGACGAAAATCAACCCTCCAAGGCTCCAACAGCCTCATCACACAGAAACTCAGGAACCGGAAGCAGGGAGGAGGACCGACAGATGAACGGATGACCTGCTTGCTGGGCTACCCATTACTGATTCTTGAGGTTAGTTTACATGTTGCCTCCGCTTCGCAGGATCAATCAAGTCACAGAACTCATCAAAATGGGCGATCTGACTCTGTTATAAAGTTCTTCCACACACGAGTTCTGGTAGCGGGCTTTGCTTTGTGGGGTTAATTCAATGTTTTCTTTCCCCTTTCTAGCCCTGGCACGAATATAGCTCAATAATTCAAATGTTTTCTTTCGTATCCTTTCAGAAAAATGAGGACCACTGACTGATGAGGGAATTGCTTTACTGAGATTGATGAGCCTGCCTCAAGACATCGTCAGGGCTCCAACAGCCTTATCACACAGAAACTCGAGGAACTGGAAGCAGGTAGGAGGACCGACAGATGAACGGATGACCTGCTTGCTGGGCTTCCCATTACCGACTATCAGGTTTGTGTACATGTAGCCTACTTAAACAGAAACAATCAAGAACTAAAATCAAAATGGGCGATCTGGCGCTCTTCTATGTTCGTCCACAAACAACGAGTTCTGGTAGCGGGGCTTTGCTTTGTGGGGTTAATTCAATGTTGTCTTTCCCCTTTCTAGTCCTGGCACGATTACAGCTCAATAATTCAAATGTTTTCTTCGTCATTTGAATCCTTTCAGAATAATGAGGACCACTGACTGATGAGAGAATTGCTCTACTGGGATTGATGAGCCTGCCTCAAGACATCGTCAGGGCTCCAACAGCCTCATCAAACAGAAACATGAGGAACCGGAAGCAGGGAGGACGGACCGACAGATGAACGGATGACCTGCTTGCTGGGCTTCCCATTCCTGATTATTAGGTTAGTTTACATGTAGGCCTCCTCTTTAGTAACAGGAACAATCAAGTCACAGAACTAATTTAAATGGGCGATCTGACTCTGTTATTATGTTCGTCCACAAACGAGTTCTGGTAGCAGGGCTTTGCTTTGTGGGGTAATTCAATGTTTTCTTTCCCCTTTCGAGCCCTGGCACGAATAAAGCTCAATAATTCAATGTTTCTTTCGTTATTTGAATTCTTTCAGCAAAGTGAGGACCACTGACTGATGAGGGAATTGCTTTACTGATATGAGAATGAGCCTGCCTCAAGACATCGTCAGGGCTCCGACAGCCTCATCGAACACAGAAACCGAGGAACCGGAAGCAGGGAGGAGGACCGACAGATGATGAACGGATGACCTGCTTGCTGGGCTTCCCATTACTAATCTTGAGGTTAGGTTTTAGTAACATGTACTAAAGAATGAGCAGAAACAAGTAATCAAAATGGGTGATCTGGCGTTCTATGTTCTTCTACAAAATAAAGAGTTGCTGGTAGGGGGCACTGCTTTGTGGGGTTAATTCGAACATTTCTGCCCCCCTCCTCTTTGCTCTACCTTTTAGATATTTCTTAATAATAATTCGGATATTTCTTCGTCATTTGAATCTTTTTACAGACATGAGGACCACTGACTGGTGAGGGAATTGCCCTATGATGGATGAGCCTGCCTCAAGCTGCATAAGCTGGGAGGACCGACGGTTGACTGACTCTGCCTGCTTGGTTGGCCATCACCGATTCTTGAGGTATGTTTACTTGAAAAGAGACCA